TCCTGAGTGTGTAAGGAAGGGGGGCAGATTGGAGCTGGCTCTTCTTCTGGGGTTAGCACTAGGAACAGTTGTCCTAAAACCTAAAACCTGATAGCTGGGTCAGATTGGGGGGTAGGGTGGGTCAGGGCTCCTCATATTGGAAGGCAAGTAACAGGATGCAGGTCTGTCCCTCAAAATATCAATGTGCTCTTCCCATGTCACTGGACTGGTAGCCAATAACCAGGCTTCCCAGCTAAGACAAGGCTGAGGGGCTTGAATTCACGAGAGCCCAATGGATGGCCTGCTTGCAACTAGTGCAAGGTAACCCCAAGCCTCCTATTTCTCTGATTACCTCCCAGACAACCCCAAGTTTAGCTCAAAGTTGCAGTAATGATCACCACCAATTTCACTGTCCCTCAGGCACTTGTGCTAGCTAGCCATTCTGTCCTCTTCCTCCTTCCTAGAGAATTCTAGACTATGCTCATGTGCGCCCTGAAGTTTCTGCTCCCTCCCAGCACCTACCAAGTCCCAGTTCTCCATAGGACCAGAGATAAAAATGACACAATCACATAGCTGGGGAGCATCCTTCACTCGCAAAGCCTGGCTTGTGGTTACATGTGTACCAGTCGGCTTAGTCCCCCTGAACTCACCTCAGAGTGTCACACAGGTGGGTCCCCATCAGCCCTTCCTTTCCCTGTTCTGAGAACCAATGAACCTGAAGGTGAGCAGCAAAGGCTTAGCCCTGGGTGCCCAGTGGCCTGGTAGGTCCATCAGCATTCAGGAAGCTGTGAGTTACAGTGACAGAGAAGCCATCCCTGCAGTCCTGGAGTCTATCCCACTGAGGAGCTGGAGGCCTCCTTGTCACCAGAAGAGCAGAGTTGGGAGGAGGCAGTGACTTTGGGGCTGTCAGCATTCCCAGGGATTATGAATCCCTAGAAAGACTGCACTGAGGTCACTGCTCAGGGGAAAACATACAACTTCAACCAAGGCTGACTCCTGGCAGTCGCTCTGGCTGGAGAAGCAGAGGGCATTTATCAAGAGGGAAGCAGCAGCCAGAGCTCTTTTATGGCTGCTTCTCCCGAGAGAGGGCACATCTAAGCTGCCTCCTTCAGCTTCCTTTGCTTTCTGGTTTGCCTTGGGATGTCCCCATTCTGGGCAGAGGCTGGCCCTCAACCCTCTCTTCTAGTGTAATGGGAGAACAGTCTAATAGTGGTGACATCAAGGAGAGGGGACTGTGGGTGGGTGGTTTGCAGCAAGGCAGAAAGCTGCTCTGTGAGTCACACTTTCTTTGGGGGGACAGGGGTCTTCTCCATCTATGAAACTATTCTTCCCTGCCACAATCCAGGGCAGGTGAGTAATGGGGTTCCCGAGACAGTCACAGCTTTATTCTGCTGTTACCACATTCAGGCCCCTTGCTGGATACTAATGATCCATTAATCTTCCTGACTGTGCTGGGAAATGGTTTCTGTTCTCATTTAAAACTTGGGGGAATCTGTGGCAAAGAGATATTAAATAATTTGTCTAAGATTACACAGATTAAAAAGTATGTCTTGAACTCAGGACCACCCATCTCCAAAGCGGCTGCTTCAGATACTCAGAACCACCCCACAAGGGGCTAGGGATCCACAAGCGAGGCCATGAGGAGGTCACTTTCCCCTTCAGGAAAAGTGAGCAAGTAACTGCAGAGAGAATCCATCTCAGGACACCTTGACAAGTGCTTAGATGCCTTTGACCGGAGAGAGTGGTAAATGTCTGCAGAAAAGCATTGTGGGAACAGACAGGCACCAGACCTGCAGGGGCCAAGATCTTCCGGAGGCTGTGTTGATGTGGTGACATTGGACGGGGGAGCCATTGTTGGAGTCACAAGGCCTTGGCTTGTTCTACCTAATGATGTCATTTCTGGCAGTGGGTCTACCTCCCTGTCTCTAGGACTCAGTGTTCAGTTCCATATAAGAAATGATTTTTCATTTTTGCAACGGGATAAGGCGGTGTAGTCTTCCTTTGCACTTCTGAGGGGAGGGAGTAAGTGTGGATAAAACTCAGCCCAGTTCTTACCAGATATCCGCTGTTTCACCCAGCTTTTCACTGCCAACTCGGCCTGATGGCTCTCTTCCCAGTTTCCCAATCACAGACCTTGGATTCCTTGTAAATTCCTGGGCAGAATTCACAGAATGAACAGCCAGTGGGTCACTGGGCAAAGCCTCTAACCGGATCCCTTATCGTCCTCCTGCTTGTAAGAGCCACACTTGTTTTGTTTGGGCTTTTAGTGTGTTCCAGCCTGGGTGGACCAACAGGAACAGGCTGACTGACTCACAGATTTTCTATGTGGCTGTTTGCTTGGGGCGACAAAGACCAGTTTCTGGAAGGTTCAGCACATCTGCATGGGAGGGAGATTAAGTCTAGAAGTGAAGCCCAAGCACCTTGTGCTTTGCCTTGTTGATGACGGGATCTTTCCTGCTCTATCCCGAGCAAGTGTGTCCCTTCGTGGGTAGAGAACTTATTACCGCTTCGGGATGGAGAGAGGCAGCTCCTTTGTGTTTCCACAGCCGTACTGTACCCACTCCAACAGACACTTCCTGGGAAATCAGGACCCTTTGTCTAGCTTAGCCTGCAAGGGGCTCAGCAGTAAGTCCTGGGCACCTGCTGCTTGCTTTATAGACCGGAAGCAGCTCTTCTAGCAGTAGGTCATGGGGGGCAGGAACTTCTCCTAATGACCTTCCAGCTTCCATTTGCATCCATCTGTGCTATGCTCGTTAGGTTTGTTGTTGTCTTGTCAACTTGACATCAGCTAGTGTCACCTAGAAGAGAGAGAAAGAAAAAAAAAAAACTCAGCTGAAAAAATGCCTCCATCAGACTATCCTATAGGCAAGTCTGTGGGAATTTAAGAAATTATTTATTTTTATGTGTATGAGTATTTTCCCTGCATGTATATCCATGCACCGTGTACATGCAGCGTTCTCAGAGGCCAGAGGAAGTTGTGTGGGATCCTCCTTCCACACACAGTGGTTGTGAGTCACCATGTGGGTGCTGGCTATTAACCCGGACCCTCTGGAAGAGTAGCTAGTGCTCTTAACTTCTGAGCCATCTCTGAAGCCCTGGCATTTTGGCATTTTGTTTTGTTTTGTTTTTTGTTGTTGTTGTTGTTGTTTTTGAGACAGGGTTTGGAGCCTATCCTGGCACTCCCTCTGGAGACCAGGCTGGCCTCGAACTCACAGAGATCCTCCTGCCTCTGCCTCCCGAGTACTGGGATTAAAGGCATGCGCCACCACCCCCCCCCCCCCGGCAGCCCTGGCATTTTAAAAAATTATTATTAATGATTGACATAGGAGGAGCCAGTCCACTGTGGGTGGTGCCACCCTGGGTAGGTGGTCCTGGGTTGTATCAGTTGGCAGGCAGAGCAAACCAGGAAGCAGCATTTTTGCTTTAGTTCCTGACTCTGGGTTCCCTTGATGCTGGACTATAAACTGAAAGCCAAATAAAGCTTCTCTTCCCCAAGCTGCTTTTGATCATGTGTTTATCACAGCAACGGAGAGCACCCTAGGACATCCTCTTTTCAGGGACACTACTGATCTTTGAAGTACTGTGTCTGGCTTCAGAGAAGGTACAAGGGTTGTATTTTCCTCATGGAAGAGCCTGACTGAGGGCCAGCCAGATGACTTGGCAGCTAACAGTGCTTGCCTGCCAAAACCGAGTTCCTTCCTGGGTCTCACATGGTGGAAAGAGAGAATTCACCCTCAGGAGTTTTTCTCCCTACCTTCACACATTCAATATACAATGTGACGCATATACACAACACACGAGGCCCCTGTTCTCTAGGCTGAAAGTGAAAAGAGAGAGAGAGAGAGAGAGAGAGAGAGAGAGAGAGAGAATAAACAAAATTTTTAAAACCTTTAAAAAAGAATTTGATTGGCATTCAGATGTACAATAAGTACTGAACCCATGTAAAATTCTGAGGGCGGGTTTGTGTAGATGAAATGAATCTTCAAGGATAGCCACCAGGCTCAACTGCAAGTCAGTGTTCAGCTCTTCCCCCATGAGGTTTTGTGTGTGGCTATAGTAGGCCTGCTCTTCTCATCAGGAGGGCTATTTGTTCCATTTCCCAATTCATATGACCACCAGGTGAGATCATGAGAAGTTGGAGATGCACAGTATGCCAGAAAAAAAAAACTTTTTAAAATTTGGAGCAGAGGCTACCACTTAGCAGGAAAAGAAATTAGCAAGATCTTATTTAGAATAATGGAGGGGGCTGAAGAGATCACTTGGTGGTTAAGAGTGCTCACTGTTTTTCCAGAGGACCGGAGTTCAATTCCCACCACCCACATGAAAGCTCACAACCATCTGTAACTCCAGTCCCAGGGGATCCAATGCCCTCTTCTGGCCCCCACGGACACCAGGCCTGTACATGGTACACAGACATACATGCAGGCAAAGCACCTATACATGCAGATAAACAAAAAAAATCAATTAAAAAACAGAAAGAACTCTTTAGCAGTTATTTAAAATTAATTTTCTCTATAGCTTTCTGTTAATTCAGTGTCCTGATGGAAGATTTAGCTGGGAGAACTAGTCTATTTGGAGAGGTAGTTGTGGAAACTTTAAGGTTTTTGGTGTTGACAGGATTAGTTTTCAGAGCCTCCCCAGGCACACCTTGTCAAAGCTCCTGTGTCCACTTGATTTCTCCAGCCCACTCTTCTCCTTGGAAGGTGGGGTTTTTTAACTGCTGGAGATGGTTCACTTACCTATCCTTCACATTTCTCTGAAGTCAGATTAGCCTTCACCTCTGTTTCCTGTTACTCCCTGTTGGGGCCTTTTCCCAGAAGGCTGAGTCTGCAGACTGCAGGACACAGCATGGGCCTTTGCCTTCTTAGCATTCTCAGAGGGTGACTTTCACAGGCCCATTGTGTATCTCTATACAGGATGCTGGTGCTGCTGGGCTCTGACCACATGCTGGGTCACATGTTGGCTTTTTTTTTTCTTTTTTTTTTTAATGTGTACAAACATTTTGCCTAGCTGGTCAGTGGTGATATACACCTTTAATCCCCAGAATCAAGGCAGAGGCAGGCAGATCTCTGTGAGTTCGAAGCCAGCCTGGTCTACAGAGTGAGTACCAGGGCAGCCAGGACACATTGTTTCAAAAAAACAAGACAAACAAACAAACAAACAAAAAATCACAAATGTTTTGCCTGCATGTGTGTACTGTATGAGTACCTGGTGCCTGAGGAGGCCAGAAGAGGGCTCCAGATCCCCTGTAACTGGACTTAGGGGAAGTTATAAGCTGTCTTTAGGTGCTTGGAATTGAACCTGGGTCCTCTGTAGGAGCAGCAAGTGCTCTTAATCATGGAGCCATCTCTTCAGTTTCATGTGACTTTCCTTTTTGAACCATTCTAGCAGGTTCCAAAAGAGATGTAACAGATATAGTGATTCCTCAGGCAGTATCTATGGACACTTATAGCTATCTTCATGAACTGTTAGCCTTGAATGTATTTTCATTGGATTATCTTAAACCACAATGCAGGAGTCAAATGGCACTTGTTTTAGTGATTGCTTTAGCTTCCTGGGAACTGAGCCTTTGGCATTAGCCACACATTCTGGGCAAGTTCTTTACCACTGAGTTTTAATCTCAGCCCTCTTTTTATTTTTCATTTTGAGACAAGTGAAGGGATTAGCCCCCCATTTCGGCAGCCATGACAGTAACACGTGCTCTATGACCTTGTCTTAGTCACTAGAGGTCAGACGCCTGCCTCGTGACAAGGAACCAATCAGAAGTTAGCTGGTTGTGCTATGCTTTACAACCCTGGGTGTACTTTACAGACAAGCACACAGCAATGACGCAGAGCATAGCAACCATCCTGGGAGGGCCTATGGGCCATAACAACCAGTTGACCAATCAACACAGGGCAAGCCCTCCAAGGCTGGAGGCACACCAATAGTGAGCCTGTGCGTACCCCTAGACACTCCCCTTACACTGCCCTACAAGATCTAGGAGTTGTCTTTTTCGAGCCATCCACCATGGTGGGTGGGTGAAAGACCTGAGCTAACATGGGGTTAGCTCGTTAAATTACAATAAAGCCTCGTGCAGTTTGCATCAAGCTCTCGAATCCGCCTGGTGATTGGGGTGACCTCGGTCGTGGCCTGGGACCCTGGATACCTGAGTTTTCTGGGGGTCTAACACAAGGTCTTATTAATTTACCCAGGCTGGTCTTGAACCTACAGTCTTTCTACTTTATTCCTGTACTTGGCTCATTTTAGTGGTCTTGATACATGTTAAATCATTGTCAAAAAGATTATATCAGCATCGATGTCCTCTAAGAATTACTATATGTAGGCTCATCTGCCTCATGAACTTGTCAGCACAGGGTAGCACCAGGCTTTCATCTTGCCAATCAGAAAGGTGAAAAGGGGGTTGGGTTATGTAAATTTTCATTTCTTAACTAATAACAACAAATACTTGTGAAGATGTGGACAAAAAGAAACCCATGCACACTGCTGTTCAGAATGAAAACTAGTCAAGCCATTGTGGGTATCAGTATTGAGGTTTCTCCAAAAACTAAAAGTAGATCTGCCATATGACTTCGCTAAGCACTTCTGAGGACTAAGGGTGCCAACCTACGGGACGCTAAGTCAGCATGCTACCGAGGAGCTTGCACATTGCAGTACTGTTCACAAGAGCTGAGTTATGCAAACAAGCTCAGGGTTCAGCTGGAGAGGGACAGGGAAAGAAAACAGAGTTTATTTTTCCACCATAAAGAACAAAGTTATGTTGTCTCCAGGAAAAAGGAGGCAAGTGGGATAGTGACTGAATTAAGCAGCTCAGAAAGACAAGTATTATATGTTTTCTTTCATTTGTGATTCCTAGATTTTGTATAAGTACATAAAATCACAATATATATCATATATATCAATATCACATACATACATCATGTATATGGTATATGTATGACCTGAAAGTATAAATAATACAACCTACAGGGTCAAATGGGACCAATGGGAGGGACAGGGGAGGAAAGGGAGAGTAGGAAGCATAGAAGCCTTTTAAATTTGTTTCCTCTTGCTATGAAAAGAACACCATGACCAGAAGCGATCCAGGTAGGAAAGGGTTTATTTATACTTACTGTTCCTGAAGAGTAAGAGTCCACAGGAGTGAAATGAGGTGTGGGGCAGGAGCAGGAGCAGGAAACCGGGACCTCACATCTTGAACCACAAACACAAAGCACAGAGACAGCAAGCTGGGATGGCATGAGGCTTTGCCTCTCGAAACCCACCACCATCGCTGTACTTTCTCCAGCTATGCCTCTCAAGCTTCCCCAAACAGCATCACCAACTGAGGACCAAGTGTTCAAATGCCAGAGACTCTGGAGGACATCTCCTTCAAACCCCACAGAGGGGAGTACTTTCAATATACAATAAATACTTGGCTGAAAACTTAAAAAATAAATTACTTAAAAGACAAATTTTAATTTCTTTAGTTACGAGCAAGGTTGGCCATCTTCTTATGTATTCTTGTTGTTATTGGACTTTTTTTCCTCCTAGTCTGAGGATCAAACCCAGAACTGTATACATGGAGGCAAGCATTCTGCCAATGGAGCCACAGCTTAGCGGCCTGGTTCTACTTTCCTCTGGATTTTTGTCCATGTCCTTTGCCCATATCTTTACACCTGTAGTTTGTTGTTTTAGCCATGAGAACTCTTGATCTATGATTTTGATAGACAAATACTCCCCAATTTGTGGGATTACCTCCCAATAAGCCTGTGCTAAGTTGAAAATGTCAAGTGCTAAGTTGAAATTGGAGGAAAATTTTGGGTTTTTCTCATATAAGCCAGGACCATCTGCCCAAGTTAGTACCATCTACAGTGAGTGGGTACTCCTGCATCAACCCCTAACCAATAAAACGCCCCCAAAGACTTGCCTAAAGGCTAATCCTATGGAGACACTGTCTCAGTTAGGGTCCCTCTTCCCAGATGACCTGAGCTTGTGACAAAAAGCTAACCAGCACAGAAGAAAAAGCCTGGGCTCAGCTGTAATCTTCAAAGGCACACCCCCCAGTGACCTACTTCCTTTGGTGAGGCCCCACCTCCTAACATTCCCATTACATCCCATAATACTGTCAGCAGCAGAGAACCTTGGGGACATCAAAGTCACACTATAACAGTGCCACAGTTAAACAGAGGCGTTCCCAGGCAATCTCCCATGAACCAGTGTTTTCTCTGCCTCTTTAAAGAAAACACTTCTTCTTTTCGCTGACACACTGTAACTGGTACTTATTTCTGGGGTTTGTGGGGCATTGCAGTCTGTATACACAATGAGTAGTGATTAGCTAGGAGCAACTGGAGACAATGTCGCCTCAGCCATTTACAACTTTTTTGGCAGTGAGAATCTTCAAAAATCATCTCTGCTGGCACTCTATCTGGAATTCGCCCCTCTGCTAGGACGGCAGAGTCCTCCTCACTCGACTGCTGAATGGCAGAGCAGAGCATGGATGAGATGCCCTTCTCAATGAAGATGCTTGCAATCAGTGAAACGTGTTGGTTCTAGTGTCACTCATTGGTGAAGATCAATCCATCTTCTCACTTAGATGCAAGGAAGGCTGGGGAACACAGTCCCTGCCAAACAGCCTGCCTTAGCATAAGAGCATTATACTCCATACCCAGAGCGTCAGTCTGGGTCATACTACCTTGGACACCAGCCTGAAGAGACTTGAAGCCCATCATCTGATCCCAACAATGATTATGTCTCCTCTCTCTCTCTCTCTCTCTCTCTCTCTCTCTCTCTCTCTCTCTCTCTCATTTCCTTCAGGGATTAGGTATTGAAAACACTACAAGTGTAAGGTCTCTGTAGGTGGCCTTGGCTGAAGACAAGTATCTGTAGGTGGTCTTGGCTAGAGATTTAGATGTGACCCGAGGGATGTTTGAGGAATTTGGAGATATTTGAGGGTGCTTTTCCCAGGATTGAGGAGACAAGCTGGTCATTCCTATGTTTTTGGCCATGCTGGGTGAAAATTCTCCTACCTAATGGCTTTTGTAGTGTTGCTCTGACATATATAGTCATCTGTCACACTTCTTTATGAAAAGTTTTGTACACCCTTGGACTTAGTCAGAAATAGGCTTTGCAACAGGTTAAATGAAGTTTTCTAGAAGTTAAAAATGTCTTCTCCCTTAGCTTTACCATTTGGGGCAATCTCCAGATGACACTCTTTGGAAAAAAATAAAAGTCACAGCACTCTGGCCGTTAGCCACCAATAGCCTGCCAGGGCTACATCAAGCTCAGGAATTACGAGGCCTCCAGAGGCATCCTGGCAAATGTGCTCCCTTTTATGGCACAAAACCACCTTCGCTTCTGTTCAACCTTCATCCTGCACTCAGAGTTACATAGAAACCATTATCTTCCCTAAAGAGCTAATCAATTATTTATTCTGTGCTTCTTGCATACATTCATTCATTGTGTTAAACATTGTACCATGCTAAGAAGAGCACACGATGGGATGAGTCGGGCACCTATATTCCGGAAGTCCCAAGTCCATGTGTGCAAAGACCTTAGAATAGACTCAGGCTGGGAACTTAAACCTAGTTCCAGAAAACCTCCTTCCTGGGGGAAATGGCCTTGGAATGCTTTGTCTTTCCCTGAGTCAATGCTTACCGTACATCAAACGTGGTTCTGCCATCCGCTTGAGTTCTTTCCACCCCCTTCCCAGCCACTGGCACCCAGAGTGTGCTAGAGATATGGCAAGGTCAGGAATTCTACCGCGGCCCCAGGCGTTCTGGTAACACCGCTTCCTATGGAGATCCGGTTTCTGTTTTGCTCCTCCCTGGGTCCTCTGGGGTATGCGGATGGGCTGTGGTTTTTCTTCCATAGCAGATCTGTAGAGATTGATTGTCTCTTTCATTGTGTCCACCATCAAAGTCCCTGGATTCATCCCACTCAGAACTCCGCCCAAGGTCATGTGCTCTGCACACGTGCCTTTTCCAGGACTCGGCCTCTCTGCTCCCCGACCATGTGCCACCGGATAGCAAAGCATATTAAAACCCAGCCTAACTAGAGTCCATTAATCAACTATGCGTGGGAGGGATCGTGAGAGATTCCTGGCAGGACTTGATTTTATTCCTCACTGCTAATGCCTTTCAGGGAAGAGCTGAATACATTTGCAATAGCTAGCGATGGGCCTAAAGTGTGTTAAAAGTCGTTTTCCAGAAATCTTTAATGTGTCTCTTCTCTTTGCTTTGCCATTTTTGAACATTCTCCAAATGACATCGCTGAGGGGGAAAACCAAAAACAAAACTCTGTGAAATACACTTTAAAGTTGTAGCGGGCAGCAAAGACATGGCATTGGCTTCACTGATTCGATTTTGCACGAGCAGATTGCCCTGAGCAGCATGTGAAAGTTTTTGCTTTGCCTTTGGTTTCTGTTTGTGTCCCACTTCAAGTAATTCCCCCTCACATCTTTTTGTCCTGGGGCCTTCGAGCCTGGTTTAAAAAAATACATAAATAAATAAAATTAAAAAGAAAAGAAAAGGCAAACCCCAGAGAGCTCCATGAAGCCAGCAACAACCTGGAAAACCGAGCTGTGAGGTTAAGCTCAAACCCTCCCCCCCTCCCCCCCACACACACACCTCTTTCCAGGAAGGAGCAGCTGCGGCTGGCCTGGACAATGACGTCAGCATGCAGTCAGTTGCAGTCCGACTTTCCACACTCTTTTCCTCTCTCCTTCTGTCCTGTGACCCCGAGCTGGGGGGAACCTGCCCCGTGGCCCCTGACTCCGGAATGCTGCCCTGATCCACCATGCATTTAGCCTGTTCCTCAGGACTCCAAGCAGAGCTGAGCTGAGTCAAGCTTCCTCCCCAGCTCCGGGAGGAATGTCGGTCAGGAAGCTCAGCTATCCAGAGAATGCGAAACACAGTATTTTAATGGGATTATTTTTCACCTCTTCGAAAGTAGAACTGGTGGTCGGGCTATCTGTACGGTTAGTTAGTTACTCCCCTTCACAACTAGAGCAGGCCGGGTGGTGGTGTCACATGCCTTTGATCCCTAGCACTGGGGAGGTAGAGGCCGGCAGATCTTTGTAAGTTCGAGGCCAGGCTGGTCTACAGAGTGAGTTCCAGAACAGCCAGGACTACACAGTAAGACCCTGTCTCCAAAAACAAAACAAAACACAACAACAACAACAACAAACTAGCGCGATTTCCTGATGGTGAAACAATAAATCCATAGCTTTCCTCTGCCACAGAGAAAAGCTGTGGTGCCCCCGTCTGCAGGGGCTGTGCTTGAACAGGGCTGCTGGGATGGAGGCTGTGTAGTTAACTGAGAGGCCCTTGTTGAGATTTCTTTCCTGCAATGATGCTGGGGAGCCTTGCTATGGCCAAGAATCACTCAGAGTGTTGATGTTTACTTTTAATACTGGGGCTTGGTCTTAAAATGAAAGCGTTATGTGGGACAAGGCACAAGAGCAGCTCTGGAGCCTTTTGTTGGCTCCAACACACATGGATGAAGCCGAGGACATTTCGTTTCCCCACTAAAACATTTACTTTACATTTTGCATTATGTGGGGTGGACTGCTAAATAAATTATCTTCTTTGCCGAAATATACAATATTTATATCATTTTTATTTTATTTTATGTGTATGGTATTTTGTCTGCATGTTTGTCTGTGTACCGTGTGTGTCCCTGATGCCCACAGGTGCCAGAAGAGGGCATCAGATTCTCTGGAACTAGGGTTACAAGTGATCGTGTGTCACTCACTATGTAGTGTTTGGAATCAAACTGGATCCTCTGGAAGAGCAGCCTGTACTCTTAACTGCTGAGCCATCCCTGCAGCCACGACTTTAATTTTAACTGATAGTCCTCCCGTGGTCAATGCTAAACCCAGTCAGAGCAATGGAGATAGAGTATTCACTATGAAATAGCATTCGAACCCTGGTCCTTGAGCTGACCATAAGTAAAAGTCAACAATTTTGCATTATGTGGGATGGACTGCTGAATAAGTTCTCTTCTTCATTGAAATAAGTATGCAATATTTACGTCATAATAAAGATACCCAAAATAAACAACTAAAATAATGAAGTTGAAGGTGCAATTCATATCCCTGGGCTCCAAACACTCCACTATTTAGAAACTGGAAAGAAAGCAAAATAAAACAAATATAAAGTTCTTTTTAGCAGCTCTGGCTTTGCCAGATGAAATAGGTTATCCAGGTGTGCTTTAAAATCTGAGATTTCACTTAAAACAGCTGTCCTGGCATGGAGACCTTATACAAAATCTGGTCAAGAGGGGAAATGCATGATCCCGCTTTTGGAACCATTTATGAAAAAGGCCTTATTTGAGGCCAGACTTTTTCTTAACATGGAAATGCATCCTTAGCGCAGCGTTTGAAATAACTAGTTATCTGTTGAGGGGAGAAGCAGAAAGGGTGAGCTGGGTGATTTTGAATTCACCTCTGCCTCCTTCATTTTGCTGCCCGCCCACCTGAAAGGAAGGCAGAGCTTGGGGGAGCCCGTTGGAAAGTGAGAGGGAAGGGAAGGGTTCAAACACCTGCCCGTAAGCTGAGTGAGCATGGGGTGTGGATTTCCAGACGCCCAGCTGAGTGCAAGCGAGTGTTTGACTTTAAGATTGCCTTTGACCTGTGTGGCACTGATGTTGCTTTACCAGTTTGGAAGAGGAACAGGACCACATCTGTTTGCAATGTCCCACCACCCCCACAGCCAAGTTCACAGGAAGTCTTGTTTCTCTCAGGACTTCCCACCACGTTTGTCCAAAAATTCTCCAGCTTTCCTGGCCCGAAGGAGCTTGGTGCAGACAAGGAAAAGGGAAGGAAACCACCAGGGGCCAGTTTCGAAGACCCTGATGTTTCCCACACTGACCAGCAGGGGTTAGGGACATGCTGGGGCAGCTCATGGGTTGTTTGATTTTCAAGGCCATAGCTCCTGGCCAGCAAGGGGGGCGGGCACCTACTTGGAGTTCCTTCCTGCCAGCTGGCCTCAGACCCAATCATCTCAGTCCAGTGCAAATCTTCAAAGGAAGGAGCCGAGGTTGCTTTCCAGCTCCTTGACCTCTCTGAGCTTGCCAGCTCCTTCCCAGAGGTAGGGCAGTGGTGGGCTGGGGGAAGGAGGTGCTTGTGTTTGCTTAGGAAAATCTCCAAATCTGAGAACAATCCCAGGTCTAACTCCTATCTACTCCTAAGGAGAGTTCCATGTTGCACTGAGAAGGTTTCATTAGAAACAGGAGAGCTATGATGGTCACCGGTCCCAGAGAGTTTGACACCCGGGGCACATTTTCTAAGATACAACATTTATTCCAAACAATTTTGACCTTGGTTTTAGCTGTCTGTCCTGCGTGGAAGAGACACCCGGAAGCAGCTGTGTTACCTTCAGTATCCATTTGCTCGCTGAGGCAGGCATAGTGGATGCAGAGTAGGTGTAACCCTGCCCACTGCTTTCTTTTGTCAGCATTTTGATGTAAAACGTTCTGCTCAAGCACAGAAAAGATTCACAAAGTTCACAATGAGCACTTGGGTTCACTGTATGCTTTGCTCTGTGTATGGAATACATTGATTGAGAAATGAAGACCATGGGCTGAGCAGATAGTTCAGGGCAAGCATAGGGTCTGATTGTGATCACAGCCCTCATTAGAAAAAAGACAGAGACAGACAGAGAAATCGAGAGAAAGAGACACAGACAGAAAGTGAGTGCCATGGTGGTACGTGACACAGAGAAACAGAGAAAGAAAGACACACACACACACACACACACACACACACACACACACACACACAGAGAGAGAGAGAGAGAGAGAGAGAGAGAGAGAGAGAGATGGAGAGAAAGTGAGTGACATGGTGTTGTGTGCTTGCAACCCAGCACTGGGGAGGCAGCAACAAATCCCTGGGGCTTGCTGGGGAGGCAGCCAAGCCTACTGAGTTCCAGTACTGAGAGAGATCCTGTCTCAAAAAAAAAAAAGTTATGCAACTGAAGAATGATATCTAAGGTTGACCTCTGACCTATACATATACACAGCCATAAACACATGGCACAAGAAATTAAGACAAGCACAACAAACACCCATCTGTTTTTCAGTTAAGTTTTAGTATTTTGCTTCATTTGCACTCTATCAAAAAATAGACCCACAAGGTACTACATCAGCTTATATATTCAAATGCGCTTGCACAAATGTCCATCCATCTTCTAGTTTTCTTTAATCACATGACGATGGGTTGTAGTCACAATGAGTCCTCATCCTTAGGTACCACAAACTAACTTCAAATTGGAATCCTTTGTAATGGGTTATTAATATTGATGTCAATACTAATGTC